AAATTGCGATAGGGACGAACCTTAAAGTGAGTTCACTTAAAGTTATTTGTTTCCATCAGCACATTGGTCACGTGACTGCAGCCTTTTAAAATGTGTGGGTTATGCAGGAATTACTGATTTATCATTACCTGGGATATCTATGAATTTTAGTGCATTACTTTTCATGGGAAAACTTATAAACAGTGCATGAGAACAGCCTGACAGAGTCAACCTGTTTCAGTGTTGAGGTGAGTTTGTTGAGACTGCTTAGCAGCTGCTGCTCTGTTAGATGGAGCTAATAAGGCAGATGTTGAACTGACTGTTCACTGCTAGGAGAGCAGCTCCGGGAATGGTCCTTCAACACTGCATTTAACCAACCTATGTAACCCCAGCAACAGTCGGATAAGCAAGGGCATCAGCTAAGTAGGTTGTCCTTCAGTGTGGCTCGGGAAACATTAGCATACAATCTGCTGAATGAATGTGGCCATATGCAGAGAGACTGGGTGCATTCACACCTGTACTTAAAGCTCACCACTTGTAATCCTATCACCCAGGATGCATGTTAATACCAGTTGAAAACAGGGTCTGTCAAAGCACCAGATCTCTATATCTAGATGGGCTCACAAAGTACGCCTGCAAGCTCCCCTCTCAGGCTTGGCTCAAGCAGGGCATCCCAGGCAAGGGTGCTCAATCCAAACACTGCTCTTAAATGTGTCGTACTGTGTACAGTGACTGTGAGTTAAACAGTAGAAAGTAGAAAGTAATCTACCAGTAAAGAGCACGTGCCTGTATTTGATTGGCCACCACAGCATCTCGCCAAATGAGGTTGGGTTGCAGTCCAGCTGGATGACCCTGCCTGTTTTTCACCAGAGCCCTTTGCATTGGCACCCAAACTGCATCACTGCACTGTCCTCATTCAAATTAATGAGGAGGATGTGCTTTCGTCATGCAGGGCTGAAGTTGCTCTGAATGTGGCTTTAAGGCACCAGTATACCAAGTCACAACTGCTTTTCAGATAGTTAGATAGCTTTGGAAACCCCTTTCCCCTCATACCTTACCAATGTCAGAATTGGGGATGCTCTGTCCGACAATTTATATAACTTTCTGAAACCAGCAATGTGATATTAACAAGCACTTCATAGTGTGATTGGTCACCTGTGCAGAGAGAAAAAGGAGCCAATGTTTTTGAACTTCTCTCTGAAGTTCCTTTTCTATTTCTTACACAACTATTCCCATCATTTGTTTGGTAAACAACCATCAATTTTCAATTTTATTTATAAAGCCCAATATCACAAATCACAATTTGCCTCACAGGGCTTTACAGCATACGACATCCCTCTGTCCTTCGGACCCTCACAGTGGATAAGGAAAAACTCCCCAAAAAAAAACCCTTTAACGGGGAAAACCATAAAACCACCATGAATGCTTTTGCACCATTATCCTCACGCCTCCCCACGTGAATACTCAGAGGGGTTTCCTGGTATTTATTCAAAATACTTTCACAGCTTAATTGTTTTACTACATTTACAATGTTTGTATTTCTTATACTTTTTGTCTTTTGAAGTCATGCTACTGCAACAACCTAATTTCCAGGTGGGTATCAGTAAAAGTTCACCTTATCTCATCGTTTTAATCCCGTTTCTCGCTTGCTTTCCAACTTCATAAAAATAGAAACGAATGATTTTTGCTGATAATTTATACTGTATGCATAAGGAATGTCAGTTTCAATCTGCGTCTGTGTCAGGACTATATTGTTGTTATCATTAGCGATCACTGATCCCCACCGTAAGCTGCTTAATGTTCTGTATCATCCCTGTTAGATAGCCAAACCTCTCTTTTCCTCCACTCCGTCTCTCGTGCACACACTAAGTGAGAAATCTGTCGCTACCATCCCATAAAAGAATCCTCAGTCACCTTGAGGGTACAGCTGAAAAGCCGGTGCCATCAATCAACCCTGCCATGTATCAGGTTATTTTTCCCACATTACAAGTGTGATTCTTTAAGTGTGGGTGTGTGTGTGATTCTGAGGAGGCGTGAAAAGGATTGATGCATTAAAGACATCTTACTCCCCTGTTAAATACCCTCTCTTGGAGCTTGACGGTTTAATAATGGTCAATAATCACACAACCTTTCTCCCCAGGTGCCTTTTACCATAAGCAGCACTATAAAAAAGCAGTTTCACTCACATATGCAACAGCGCCAGACAAACACCGCTTTAGTATTTACTCAGGTGGTATTCCCATGGACATTTATAATGTGATTTATGTTTAGTATGGCGGTCCTCATTGAAGTAACAATCAACTTCCATAACTGTATTTACTGTGTGAAACTATACAGAATGCTTGCCATTGCAATAACCTGATAAATGACTGTACAGAATCTGATTTTTTCCCTGTTATTGCATTTCATCTAATGCATTACTTTATCTTTGTGTTATAGGCACAAAAATAACAAATGGAATCTTCAAGAGCCAAAAGAACTTAAAGATAAAAACACCAGACTTCTGTGCAAGGTAAGCATCAGGCATTTCTCATGCACTGTTGGTACATTTTCCTACAAAAAGTAATGCACCAAAATTTGCACAACTCCCATGTAATCATGAGCCAGTAATTTGTGTATAACCCATGTATTTGGGAAGGCTGAGATCACTTGACGAATGTGCCGATGGAAGTAAAAGCAGAAGCGGTCCCTGAAGGGAGACAGGTTGGGGTGGTGGATAGGTAACAAATCAAAGGACTTTCCCTCAGGAGACTGGTGTTCGTCACCATGTTTCTTTTCTAAAACCTAACCTACATAACTTAACATTACAAGATACTGTTATTTCACAACCATCTTCCGGTCTTGAACGTACAAAACAAAACAAAAAGTGGGAAGGGGAAAAAAGAAATATAAGAAACACAAATCAATAAAAATCCTAACAAACGTACCAAAAAAGACAGTATCTCAAATGAACAGCACACAGGAGAAACTACCAAACAGTTACAGATTATCTCAATAAAGAGCCCTCTTTCTTCTCTCCCAGGGTTTCTCAAGATAACTGGTTAAGTTCTATGTTTCAGATGTGAACAGATATTTCCGTCTTTTGTGAATTTAATATATTTACAAAATCACATTGTGCACTTCACAATAAAAAGGCCAGCAGTAAACAAAATTGATCTAATTTTCTATATTGTTTAGACAGACCTCAACCTAGCATGTAGAGGTCTGTGTTTTTTCTTGCTTGCTTTTTAGACAAATTATATACAACATAATTTTCCATAACATATTCGGTTTGTATCATTGTAAAAGTATGCAGTACATGTACACATGTGCCAGACAAGGTCATGTGATTTCACAGAATGTACCATGTAAGAGGCACATTGGGTATTTGTTGTTGTTTTTCAGTATGTCACAGCTGTTGAGCAAGACGGTAAATGTTCTGGATGTCATTTGTTTACCATGTAGGCGACGGTCTGTAATAAATGTGTAAAGATGGCTTGTTTTTCAGGACAAACTCTGACATGTTTTTTTAAAGTGCACAGAAAGCCTGAAAAACAAAATTGACACGGGTACATGATCAAGCTACTTAGAGGCAAACTTGAGAGATCCTTGAATCGTTGTCAGGAACTGAGCTGGTCCAGATTACATTGTCAGTATCAATCACAGAAACACCTAGCAACCTATTTTATTTGAACAGGCACAGCAGACTCATCTTGCCAAAATGGCTGAGCAGGTTGAATAGGAAAGGGGTTCAGTTAGGCTGACCTATGAATCAAAGGGACCGATGAGCTGTTCAGAAACCATTAGTTCTGTTTTTTACCGTAATTCTTTGACAAAGGTATTAAAAGAAATGAGCTCCACAGGAATGTTTTCAATAAGACCTGTAGAGCTTAATATGAGGGTGAATCATCTCTACAAACATGATGAAGTCACATGGTGATGTCTTAAATAAAGGACTAAAAGAAATGACTTAAATACTTCATACAAATAAAGATAAATTACAGAAATCTGTTGACATTTCCAGCCACTTGTGTTTTCAGTCGTCTAATTCCTACTGCCCATTGCAGGCAACAGATGCAAAGCCCCCTGGGAGTTATGGTTTATGTCCTCCCAGAGGGAATTGGCTCAATCACCTCATTAAACGAGGCTGTAACCAAGAGTGATATTTCATCGGGGGAATATTTGTATCCACTGTCTCATAGAGTAAACAGAGCCCAGGCAGTCTAGAGTGTCCATCTGTGTATTATAGAAAACAAATTCATATAGAGAGGGGAAAAAGAGAAAGAGAGGAGGGCAGAAAAAATAAGTACAAATGAAGGAGAGTATGCAGAGCAGAATGAAACTGTAGGAGCAGTGACAGATTAACCAATGTGCTGATCATGCCAGGCACCAGTAGCCATTGATATAATTATCAGCAAAAATGAGGTTTCATCATATAAGTTGCCTTTCTTCATCCCGTCCTTAACGTCAGTATACTTTATCAAATAACCATTCTAATTCGAAAGAGTAAAACTACGCTGTGTGGATGATTTTAAATGCAGTGTGGTGAAATGATGAATCACTCTGTCAGTTCACAAGTAAAGAGACTCTGAGGGCCTGTGGAGTAGAGATTAAATATGGACAGCAGAATTACATTATTATGCCAAGATTAATGTGACATTATAAAATATTTTATGTAATTCAGACTAGCCAGCTTCAGAATGTAGAAAAGTAGATTAAATCAATAAAACTTTAAAATTAACTCAAGTAGCTGGTGAAGGAATGAAATTATTGGAGTAGTATTAAAGGAAAACTCTGCCCATTTTCAACCAGGTCTGTGTCACGCTGGTGTGGGTGGTGTGTGCAGAAAAACAGTGTCAAGGGGCCTCTGTGTATCAGCAGCCCATGAGCCAAAATCTGACAGATGATGCGAAACACGTCATTTTGCATCATCTTGCAGACTTCAGCAAAGTATCTCTTTAGGTCGGAGAGAATAAGAGAGGATATAAAACAAGACAAGACTAGGCAACAGAACAGAGCTAAAAGTTGTAAGTATACCCTACCTGTTGTAGAGGAGGATATCTGGGACCCATACCAGATTGGAAGGGAAGCGCAGGTTTTGAACCCCGGGGTAGCTCTCTGCGTTCCATGATAGGTAAATGTCTGTCCAATACTGAAACAAACAATAGAGAGTTTAAATGAGACAGACGAGGTAAAGACGTAAAAACAAGAACAAAACATAGGAAAATACAGGTTAAAAGTGCTGCATGTAACTCTGGAGGAAGATGGTTGATTGAGTCTCATTCCATCCATCCATCCATTTTCATCCGCTTATCCGGAGCCGGTTTGCAGGAGCAGCAGGCTGAACAAAGCACCCCAGATGTCTCTCTCCCCAGCAACGCTTCCCAGCTCTTTCTTGGGGACCCCAAGGCGTTCCCAGGCCAGATGAGATATGTAATCCCTCCAGTGTATCCTGGGACTATCACTGGGACGTGCCCGGAATACCTCTAATGAGAGGCACCCAGAAGGGAACCTGATCAGATGCCCAAACAACCTCAACTGACCCCTGGCTCCACTCCAAGCTCCCTCCGGATGTCCGAGCTCCTTACCCTATCTCTAAGGCTGAGCCCAGCCACCCCACGGAGGAAACTCATTTTGGTTGCTTGTATCCGTGACCTCATTCTTTTGATTTCTACCCAGACCATAGGTGAGGGTTGGGACGTAGATGGAACAGTAAATCAAAAGCTCCGCCTTCCAGCTCAGCTTTCTCTTCACCACAACGGTCAGGCACAGGGCCTACATCACTGCATATGCCGCACCATGAGTGGTTGACTGGAAATACGTCTCATTCCCGGGTCTTCAAATACCACACTTTGGACTGGTGGTTCAGTCTGACTACCAACCCAAAGCGTCAGTATTTGACAACCTGGGAATGAGACTCAACAATAACCTATCTTTCTCCAGAGTTACGTAACAGCACCTTTAAGTGAGCAAATGACAAAGCGTGAGAAAGATGAATGCCAAATTTAAGACTTTTAACTTTGTGTTTCTTGGTTTGTATCCCAGCCAGGCGATTTGCTCTTTTTGTTTTTGTTGCTGATATTATTATTAGCAATGTTCACAGCTCTGACAGCATCACACGTTCCGCAGCTTAAATAGTGTTGGTACAATGCCACGCAAACTGAATTCTCATCTATGCATCATATCATCTCTCCTGTAATATGAAGCATATCCAGTGCAAGCAACACAGAACTTTCTTACAATTATGATCAGCCTAAAACCATCCGTCAAACATTGTCCTTTTAGCTGGGCTGATATTCCATCAAACTGCTGGCTCTTACACTTTGTCTCCAGCTCTGCTAATGAAGCCTGGCAGAGAAACCTTGCCAAGCCAACAGTTGCTGGCAGTGACCCCTACACTCCCAGTTGAGTGTGGGTCCGTATTCAGCAAGGGGCTAACTGAGCCCAACATCAAAGCGTCTAAAGGCACAAAGAGTGAATGTGTGTTGCCTCTGTGCCTCATTTCATGACTCACAATACGAAGCAAGATGATGTGTGGTCTGTGGAATAGTAAACATATGAGTGTGAGTACTGTTGTGTCTGTCTGTGGGTGTGTATGTGTGTAGTATACTGTATTTATAGAAGTCACATATAGGTGGAGGCACTCAGATGTTGTAGCCAAAGGGCACATTCTCTATGGAGCAAACACAGTCCCATTGCTAATGTGGCCACAGTGCAGTGGGTACATCTGTTTGTGCCTTTATGTGCGTGTGTGTATGTTGGTGTGTATGCATGGGCATACACATATGGATATTGTGCAATGTGTATTTTTGTGTTTGCATGAATGTGCTCTTGGGACTGTTAAATGTGTGCATGTTTCTTTTTGTGCACATGCAAATCCATCTGTGCTTCTGTCCATATTAGTGACCTTACAATCAGTCCCAAATCCTTAAAGGAGGGTGCCTGAATTGAACCATTTCAAAGAGATGCTATCCATCTAAAGGGGGCCTGCTGACATATGTCTCCACTCACGCAGCTAATGACTTAATCACTACACTTGTCAACTGTGGGCCTTGGCGGTTTGGTGCTACACAGCCTTCTTTTCATGTTGTTCACGTTGGCTAGGAAAGCACAACTAACAGCCAACAGAACAAATTACAGCTCAGTAACTTTGTAGTCTGTCAGGAATAGATGAGGAGGACACTGGGCTACATAAGGTAACAGCTGTCTAAGAATAGGTTTGGAGTTACATAACAGAAAATTAAGAAAGTGTCACTAATTTGAAACAACTATATTCTTCTTAAGAGACTGGCAAATTTATTCTCTGAATGCAAGCCCCAGGAGAGGGTGTAGGATGCAAATGTGCAGTATATATCATGCATTCAAGAAAAGTAATGCTAAAATAGTTGGGGAGATGATGTAATATTTAGCACTTTGGCTGCTGCAAAGAGATAATTGGAATATAAATTGCATGTAAATGATTAGTTATACTTTTATGGTTATCTGTTTTTTCATGTAAATTCTAAATGTATATACTCTGATAGATATAATCCACAGACCTCACTGTCAACAGGTGTTATATGGAGAAGATTATACATCAAGTAATACTGACCAGGCAATCTGATTGGTCCACAAGACATTTAAAATGTGCTCAAATCAGCACAACAGCACACCTGACTTATCACTAAAAATATTACACCACCATTTCCATGGCAACGTTTTCAGTGCCAGAGGAAATACTAGAAGGCTACCAAACTGCTACAAAATGGACCATTTAATCTTTAATTTTGATTTTTACAGCAGACTCAGTTTGATGAATGGTTGGAGGAAGATGAAGCTGCTGCTGCTGCTGCTTTGGTACATACACTGGACACATGCATACTCTATATATCCATGTATATGGGCTAAAATCTATAGGAAAACTCTTTACAATCCTGAAAATATTATATAGCCGAATATGTAAATATAAGCATACTGGAAGTCAATATTTATTAAACTAATATATCTGAAACATTTTTTGGTCTTTATTTCAAATTACCTGCAAGCGCCACGGTCCTGACTGCATCACTATTGTGCCACAGTTGATGTTAAAGGACACTCTCTTGTGTCATATTGCTTAAGTGTATCTCGGGCAGTATATCTCTGTGCAAACCCAACCCCAGCCTGGGAAACCCAACCCAAACCTGTGAAGCAACCTGTTTTTTATGCCCGAACCCGACTGGAGCCCAACACAGTAAATGTAGCATTATTAAAGCGCTGGGTTTTTGCTTGTCATGCTACTATTATTACCATGGTTACAGCTTGCCAGGGGTGTCAATGTCATTTTAGTTCATGGGCCACATACAGCCCAATTTGACCTCAAATTTCCCTCTGTAGACATTCATTCTTTTATAAAACAGATGAACAGCCTGAGATGTCTAAGAAAAATAAGTGCAATTTCAAAAAAAGGCTCAGTTTTTCCACATTCAGTCAGTCACTGTCATGATATTTGCATTTATCCATACGTTTCCTGGTACAGATACAGGTGTGATACAGTCGGTACAGATTCTTTGAACTGCTGTTTGACAATATTTTGAACAATGCTCAATATCTTCAAACATGGTCACAATAAGCATTCATTGTTATATCACAGAACTGTATTCTGGTCAGGGTGGAAAAGCCTCTAAGCAGAATTTTACATGAAGTAGGCAAAGCAGGTTTAACTTGCTACTGAAACCTTGCACCTCTTAGTATAGTCATCTAGTGGGCCCAGTTGGACCATTTGGGGGGGGCCGGTTCTGGCCCACATGCTGTATGTTTGACACCCCTTCTGTATACTATAATTATAAACGTGGAACCTCAAAAATGACCGTCAAAAGGCACATACGACACAAACACATTACGCAATGTCATTAGCAGTTAGAAATAAATAAATTTGAGTTTTAGCCAGCTATTGTTGTATGCTAAGTCTTTATCTCCATAAACTCTTCCTGAACTGTAACTGCTGTAAAATGACTTATTTACATAATCCAACCATCGTGGCATATTTGGAGTCATTGTGAAGGAAGAGGATATCATCCACTTTGTTTCATCCAATGTTTTCTGCCAGCAAAGCCTGCTCTTGGCTAAAAAGGCCAGAATCTTTGGAGCAAGTACACAAAGCTTTGGATAAGGTTAGGTGATCATCATTAGCTAGCTAACGTTAACTTACATTAATATTTGCCATCTTAAATAGCCTATGTGTTGTGTTCATGTGTTGTAACATAAATAACAAACCCAGCACTGAACAAGAAGTAGCTCAACACAGACAGTATGTTCATCAGTTTTAGGCTGAACCGGACCCAAACATCATTTGTAAATATTTGCAGGTCAGGAATCCACACTTCAATATGGACTTTTTCTTTGATAGAAAGCAGTAAAAACTGTTGACAGCATGACCTACAGATTATCCAGATTCACAGCTACACAGCTCCTGGAAAGACTCTTTACTGATAGATTTTCAGTAAACACACTTGTGTTCACCTTCATTGTATTCAGATTTAGGCAGGAATATCCAGCACTATATTAAAATCCAGATAAAATAGTGACCCTTTAAAGGTCACTTTTCCACCATCAGTAATCACAGGCTATAGAGGAGGAGACAAAAGTAACACTCAGTTCTTAGAAAACTTAAGCTCATTACAATTCTCACAGCTAAAAACCACATAAAATCCTATCCATTCGGATGTGAGACATTCATTGCCTGATAAACCTGTAATCCTTAAATCCTTCACGATGCAGCGAAGGTGAACCTGCCCCTTCTCCGTCTGTCTGTGAGCTACTTAATGTACTTCTCAAGTCTCCTTCAAAATCTGCTGCATCTGCAAAGCACCTTTAAGCCATTACACCAAAGTGGATGCTCATATTAAAGAGATAGCTTCCTGAATAATTGATTCATTCATAACTTGTAAGCCAGTCAGCAGCCAACTCAACCTGTACGAGCGCAGGCTGTGACATCCTTAATAGGCTATTCTGACTGGGGCCGCTGTGATAATGAGGCTGTTGTTCCTACCTGGCTGGCCTGATGTAACATTTTCCTGAGCACTACAATGTATATTCACTGTACCATTAACTTATTGTCACCTTTCCATAATGGGATAGATGTGCTTTAAGTGAGCTAAGTAGCTTAGTTTCTGCATATCTGAATGGCAGTACAGATGTTAAGGAATCTGACAATCGACTTCTCCTCTGCCAGTTGTGTCTTAGCAACTATAATACGCACAGCAGGTCTGTCAGGGTTTCACCTCATGCCCAAGTGTGCATGGGGCTGTAGCAAGAGAAATACTTGGCAAAACAAGTTCAGAAGTTTAGGGGATGTGAAGTAAACATTGGGTTTATCTACCCAAGGCCAAGACTTCACGACTGTGTGGAGGCAGGTTTTGAATGCTATCAGAGTTTAGGTGACTGTTAGCAGCTCTGTCCAGCTCTTTGATTTGTGGGAGTTTACACTCCACCAACACCAGCCAGCTTCACCAAGACTGCATTACACGTTAGTTCTCGTCTTAAAAACCTTTTCTCTTGTAATGTTAATGTCAAAAGTGACAATTTGAACAAGTACATAAGCTAAGCAGTCAGACCATGGACACATTACATTTGTATGTTTTGTACGTATCATTTTAACATTTCTAAAGTGACGTATTATATGAGCTGACTTTGTCATTTGGAGGTGGAGGCGATGGTGGATGGTGTGCCACCTATGCAAGATGACTGCCAAGCTGCAGATCACTGTTCAAGACCACCAAACAAATGTTTTCTTTTCTTTTTACCAAGTCATTGCTGTGTTTCCAGCTGCTTTTGAGCCACCAAACATGGGTGTTTTAGCAACCTGTTGCTGTTTTTCAATCTTAGATAGTGCCATGAGTGTTGCCAACTCTTTCCCAATGAAAGTAGCTAGCACTAGCTCCAAAAGCTAAAAGTTGCCAGATGATGACATGGGCTTATTTGCATATTGGTTGTTGCATAATAACAAAGACATTAAACCTTTGCTGAATCAGGTTCAATAGGAAAATCCTCAACACTTGATTGAGAGCTATGGCACTTATACAATAGAGCGTTTCACTGGAATTGCATTGCTAGGCAATAGCTTGAGTCCATGTTTACTTCCTGTCATTGGATGCAACTGCAAAACATTCCAACAGGAAGTACAAAGGGACCCATTTGAAATGTTGATGTTGTCAAGATTGAAAGGGTATAGTGCACTTTGTTGTGCTTCCAATCCAGAGAGCAAGAGCGTCAGTGTAACCATAGAACCTCACAACAACTGAACTCCAAAGGCAAGCAGCATTGCCTCTCCTGTCCCACACCTACTGCACAGCAGAGGAGGAGAGTGGAGAGGGGGAGGAACACGCTGATGGCGTGGACAGGCCGGTAACTTAGCCACTTAGTCACTTTTTAGAAATAAATTTGCTAAAAGTTGAAAAGTTGACACCACAAGCAAGTACTGTAAGCCAAAACATGATATTTTCCCAACCGTAACCAAGTTTTTTTTGTGTCTAAATCTAACCGCACACTAACATTGCTGAAATGTAAAGAAACATAAAGTTTCAACATATTCTCTACATAATAATGTGCAAATGTAACATGTCTGTAGTTTGCAGAAATATACAATGCCAGCATTTTTTCTGGCGACTGGGTTGATTGACTTCCTGAGTCTTGGCGGTGTAGCCTCTAAATGCAGTCTCATTTTTGTGGCCATCAAGTGCATATTTATGAGACCTTTTATGGCATTCTCATTTTAAAACGCGTCAGCTGTAAAGATAAAGATGTCAGCCAGAGACAGTTTTATCAGCCAGCTAATGGCGCTAATGTTAGCTCAATTAGCCAGCTGTGACTGATAAAACCTGCAAGCATTACTTGTCCTGTCACCCAGCAAAATCAATTAGGAGAATGCCTAATCAATATGCACCATTATTATCCCGCTAGAATGGCTTACAGATGTAATAACAGCAACTAATGTAAAATATAAAGGCTTAAAGGAGCTATATGTAAGAAATCTAAAGCAAATAGTCGTAAAATCCTCCCAATATGTCACAGAGACTAAGGAATAATGTTAATATAACATACTGATCTCACCGACAACAATAGTACAGCCAGAATATTAGCATTTAAAAAAAAAAATTACGGTTCGCAAATCATGTTTATGTTTTGAATTTGTGTTTTGGCCTGAAGCGCCACCCACCGCCGTCTACCAGTCACGCAGTCAGTAGAGTCTCAGCATCAGTTACAGTTACGACTGAGCTACAGCAGCACGGCAAGCAGCATTAGCAGTGTCCCAGTACATAGCATTAGCAGTCTCCTCAGCTGTATCACGGCAGCAGCGTCAGCAGCAGAGAAGCCGGACTTGCTCGAACGGTCCGCTGGAAAACCGAAGATCAAGGACGCGGCGACGCAGCCCTGCCACGGCAGCCGCCCGTGGGCAAACAAAACAGTCTCCAGCATGCCGCTGTCCAGCAAACTCAAATCTGTAGGGGAGGGGGGGAGGACACGACTCGTGGCAGTATTTTGAATTTGAGTGCAGTAACCGTTTTGGCCACATTCTTACATACAGCGCATTTAAGAAGGCAGACGAAAGTAGCCCAGTGTTCAGCTCAGAAATGTGATGAGAAAACATCTTTGAAAACATGATATGCTGCCTTAATAATATAATTATCCTCATTATCCTGTGACATAGCCTATTGCTCAGAATAAATATTTGTCATGCCATTATTTGGCTAAATATCATAGAAGAATAAAAAACTCATGCATAAAATATAATTTTTGACATAACCAAATGTTATTGCCTTTTTATTTTGTGGAAAAAGAACACACCTATGTCATTTGACACAACTGCCGAACATAAAATTTAAGATTGAATTTTATATCTTATATCACATGAGGCCCTGGAGAGTCAATGAAATGCATTAACTTCTTATTTGGGGGATCACAGAGATGTTTTATGTTGGCAACAAAAGGTTATTGGTTGCAGCTCCAATCATACCTGGCTCTCTGACTTCAAAAGCAGTTGAACACTTTCTTGAACACACAGAGCCCACAAGACACAAACATCACACACACAGTTTCCAAAAATATACCAAATGACAATTATAACACAGTGATCACACAAGAAGTGCTTTGAGGGGAGACATACCAGCTGCAGCCAAGCGTTTGTGATCAACACCTGGTTCTTTTCATCCTGGAGGGAAACGGGAGGAGACAGAGAGAGAACAATCAGCGGCTAGGAGACATGGCTGCAGACAGAAATTATTCTGCAGGGTGAGAAAATAAAAAATAAATACCACGTCTGGTAAACATGAGGTGGGATTACGAGACAGATCGGCTATGAAGTCAAACTGCAACCCAGATGACTCAGAGCTGGCGTGCACTCTGAATGACAATGATGCACTCAGCTTTATTCTGTTTTACGAGATTCTTGTGATGTAATGAGACAGAAGTTGTGTTTTGCCGTTTTAAACAAATGCTATCATAAACTGTGAGGAATAAAAAAAAAACAATAAAAGAGAGCAAAAAGCAATCTGCACAGAAAATAGACTATGACACTGAGAAGAAAGGATGAGGCTCTTCTATAAAGAGATGAGTTTCTAACAATTTCTATATGCGTCATGAAAACAGAAATACGCAGACTCAGTAGCTCCAGTTGCATTTTATATTTCACAAGGGTCAGTTCATGGTCAAATGGCCAGAGAAAGAAAAAAGGGGGGAGCGTAGAGGTAGGAAAAACTGAGGAGGAGAGAGTGAGAGGAATCAAGATTGACAGAGAGAGAATCAGAACAGACAGAGGCTGAGATAATTCATCAGACAGCAAAGAGAGAAAGCATAGAAAGAAGTCAGAGGTAGAGCCACAAGGAGGAAGAGCCAAAAAAAGTCTGAGGTAGTAATGGACTTCTTTAGAGTCTGTTTTGCACAATCCTACATGACAGTGACAAGTTTTGCTCCTTGTTACACACTGGTGCACTGTGTGTTTGACGTATTACCTCTCTTACCCTTGAAAACTGTACAAACCGCTCGAGAGCATCTTCTATTCTCTTTCTCTGCGGATTAGTCCTTTTTATTTTCACAGAATCTCTCCAGTGATTTATCACATTATCTTTACACAAGCTGGAATAACACCGCAAGTCCAACCCTTTGAAAACTTTTCCTTTAATGTTACTGTGGTAAAATCAAATCATGAAATCAATTTTTCTCACTTTATTTCTTTCTGTTTCTCATCACACCAGACCTAATCTACTGTACAGTTTTCTTTCTTATCACACAGTTTCACTGTTTTTGCTCGTTTCATCCTGCTTTCCTCGCGCTCTCAGGATACAATTTCAGAGGTGGAACCTGAAAAATGAAGCTTGTTCTTATGCTGAGAGATAGTCACAGAGGAGTGTGTTTAGATCAGACCTTGAGGTTGTTGAATAACGAGTTTCTTAGTCCTTTACTTATTGGAGTGAGGGGCCATATCATACAGTAATGTGAAGTAAGCACAGTTTGTAGTTAATAAGATAAAACTGGCAAAATCATAAGTGCAGTCCTTTTAAAGGTTTTTGAAGAGAAATTGTGGCCAGTGATAAAGTGTACGATATTTGCAGCTGATGTTGTTAGATTATAGATTCTTGAGCCTCTGCACACTTTTCCTTTGACTCCATGTCACAGAGTTTGAATGAATGAATGAATGAATGAATGAGTATTTTATTTTCTTGTTTGGTAATTTACATGACCCATCGGTCATGGATGATTCAGACACATTTACCAAAAACAAACCAAACATTTGGTATGTTAACCCACCATCATCCAACGGCATAATACATAAACATCAACCAGGCACAAAACAAACATTAACCAAACCAAAAGAACATAAACCTCCCACAAATAACACTTCAAGAGACATCAACAATGGAAAAAATAACATAAAATAGAAAACACACAAACACGGTCCCCTGAGCACAAGACACAATACACACATCCGAACAAACAGTAAGTGAGTATTTAGTCAGTTGTAAAGCCACATGATTTGTGGCGAGGTTGAGCTGTATTGCATTATGCTGAAATGTGTAGTATTTTTAGTCCACCTTCATTGATGTAAATGGGAATGAACAAGTATGCTTGCGAAAACATGCCAGTGCATAAATTTAAAAAAAGGCCATGTTATCTGGTTCTACAATGTCAAACAGTCACTAGTCAACTATCAGTTGACCACATCTGTGTAAACATGGATCTAAAAGCATTTTTGTGATGCACAGCTGAAAAACACATTCACATCACGTCACTTGACATAATGTAAATAATTTAATGTGACTGGAAATATGTGTTGTGAGTGAGTAACATTAAGTTGAAACAACGGTGACTTTTGGTTTCACATGGGACATGACCTTTGGTCTCCTGGGCAGAAGTCCTGTTTTGTTTGATCCATCCACCTCTCCTCCCTCCCAGACTTTCTTGCACTTTATACCACGTTATTTACTCTCAGTATCAAGTATTGCCCCAGATGGGTTTACATTGTAGTGAAGGAAAGCAGTGGACGTTCACATCTGAAGATGAGTTCTTAAATGTGATTTAATTTTCTTGAAAACAAACAAATATTTAAAACAGATGATACACTAAAATAAAATATATTACAAAAGACCTGCTTGGCTTGTGGCCTCTCTTAAAAAAAGCAGTTGGGGTCTCTTTTCATATTGAAAAAATGTTGGCATTGTACATTTCTGCAAACAAAGGATATGTTACATTTGCACATTATTATGTGGCAGATATGTTAAAACTTTGAGTTTCTTCATATTTCAACAATGCTGTGGTTATCATGTGGCAATCATGTTTTGGCTTAAAATAGCTGGTTTTTGTGTCACCATCCCCACTGGAAAAACAGCAACGGTTCAATAAAAAGCACCGACGTTTGGTGTCTAAATAGCCACTGAAGACACAGTAATGACTTGCTAAATTAAAATTGGATTTGTTTGTTTGGTGGTTTCAAACAGTGGTCTGCAGCTTAGCAGGCATCTCCCCTAGGTGACATACCAACCCCCACCCCCTACACCTCCTGATGACAAAGTCAGCTCAAATGCTTCATCACTTTAGAAATGGTGATATGATACGTATGAAATTTACAAATGTAACATATTCATGGTTTGCAGAAAGAGTAAAATGCCAACGTTTTGATCTGGCGATTGGGCTGTAAAATGCCCATGAGTTGTTAGCAGTCCCACCAAAGAGTAATTTCCAGTCTGAACATCTCAACGTTATTGTTACCAGCTGTTGATCAATGGAATAGTGTTAAACTGACAGCATGATGTGAATCGTGCCACCAGTGATACAAACAAAACAGGGACCCAGTTGTAACATCCAGCACTCCACAGGGGACATTTAACTCTGACTAAGCCTGCACATTTGCAGGTTTGAGCTGAATGACTTTATGCTTCAGATATATTTGAATCTGGATTTAAGAAACTCAAATCAGCTCAACTTTTCCACTAAGAGGACTAGGGTTCTCACGAGAGTCTCTCTCCTCAGGTTTCCCCACACTTTTCTCAGAAAAAGGACTTTTTGACACGAAAAATGATGCAACATAATTTATGATAATGGATAAACTACACACTCAGGTTTGGAACAACCACTAATATGAAAATGGCACAGTAGTGCAGTGGTCAGAGGCAAGAGGGTTCCTGGTTTGAACCCAGGGTGGGGGAGCCCCCAAGTTTGCATGTTCTTACCGTGTAAGTGCGGGTTTCCTCCAGGTGCTCCAGCTTCCTCCCACAGTCCAAAGACATGCAGGTTAATTGGTGACTCTAAATTGCCCGTAGGTGTGAATGTGAGTGTGAATGGTTGCCTGTCTCTATGTGTCAGCCCTGCAATAGTATGGCAACCTGTCCACGGTGTACCCCGCCCCTCACCCAGTGTCAGCTGGGATAGGCTCCAGCCCCCCGTGCACCCCAACAGGATAAGCAGTTACAGAAAATAATAAATGAATGAATGAATGAATGAATGAATGACTAATATGAATAGGAGTATGTTCAAGATATAAAGATAATAACCACATGACAATCAAAATCCATTAACTTCATGTGTCTTATTATTAAGAAGAATGGATGAACTTCAAAAGGTGCTTAAAGTCTTTGTCATCAACGACAAACAAAGCAAACTCACTGCTCTTACTTCTGTAGTGAAAATCGATTCTCACACAATCGCCGCCTCTCTCTTGCTCTTTCTCTCATCCCCGCCTCCTCATCTCTTACTTAACTCCCTCCAATCTTATCTACTCCTGTCCTTTCTGATCTGTCCCTCTTCTAAACAGCCTCCTTTCTCCACTGCTGAAATAGAACAGCCTTCCATTGTGTGCTTCACAAAGCAACATATATTCTCTCCCTTTTTTGCGTGTGTGTGTGCAATTGAGCCAATCGTGAAGATTTGGGAGGTTGCTGTGTTTTCGCTGTGTTTTGTACCTGCCCTCTCTTTTGTGGTGTTTTGTGGGATTTCTCTCAGCTGCAATAGGCAGTATCAACCCTGTCACAGCCACCATCAACACTCTAATCTCCTCATAAATCTGCTCTGATTGGTTTTAGACAGACTGGCGAGGGATTGATGGACACTTTTCACATTCAGTGAAAGCTCCTTAACTGTATTTTATTGCAAGTCATCTGACATCATATTGCCAAGGACAAAAACATGCTGTCATGAATTGATGCTTTACTGTAAATCTCTATGTAAATTGTCCCAGAACTGGCTTTTCATCTATGTTTTATCCTCAGGAGGGAACATTATGATGACTGCCATATTTTCTTTCAGTCCAGATCAGAGGATCAGTGTTTCTGAGATACTCAACAGACAAAAATTGAAGAAAAGAAATCCTGAAATCATGAATCATATCTCAAAATCCTGTATTCTGCTCCCTGCACTAGAATTTACCCCAGATTTTCATCAATTTCCTGAAAAACAGATCTTTAACAGGGCGTTGTAAAATGGATGGTGAACAGGATGCCTTTGTGTTTTCATGGTTCACCGGAAGTGGTTGAATTTCTGCAGCATGCAACACAGCGTGGTTTAGCAAGTGTCTCTCTATATTTATTTTCTGTCTCAGGCTTGGTCAAATCAAATGTGAACAAAAGCAGAAAACTGCCATTGTATTGCGCAAAGCAATACCAAACCAAAGAGGAATGTTTGGAATGTCAAGAATAGTTGTTAAGTAACACTATGATCACC